TATAATCTACACAGAATTCGAAATATACTATGATGTACATCTGAAAGCTATATAATGATATAATCCAATGTTATTGCAATAAAATTTTTAAAAATGGCAAAAAAAAAAACTTAAAGCAAACATTGACAGAGTAAGGGAGAATCAGACAGCAGTACAGCAGTAGGGGACTTCAATACCCTACTTTCAACACTGGATAGATCAACCAGAAAGAAAATCACTAAGAAAATAGTGGACCTGAATAACACTATAGACCAAACAGACCTTAAAGATATATATAGAACATTATGCCAATAGGTACAAAATACACCTTCTTGTCATGCACACAGGGAACATTCTCCAGGAGAGAATATATGTTTTTCCACAAAGAAATTTTTAAGAAACTTAAGAAGATTAAAATAATATCTAATATCTTTTGCAACAACAGTGGTATGAAACTAGAAACCAATAACAGAAGGAAAACTGGAAAATTCACAAAATGTGTAAATTAAACATCACACTCCTGAACAACCAATGGATCAAAGAAGAAATTAAAGAGAAATAAGAAAGTATCTTGAAATAAATAAAAACAAAATAACACCATATCAAAACATATGAGACACAGCAAAAGGAGTTCTGAGAGGTAAGTTTATAGTAATAAGTGCCTACCTTAGAAAAATAAAGATCTCAAATAAACAACCTGACTTTACACCTAAAGGAATTAGAAAAGGAAAAACAAACTAAGGAGTGGAGTTAGTAGAAGGAAGGAAATAAAGATTAGAATGGAAATAAATGAAACAGAGAACAGGGAGACAGTCAGAAAAAATTAAAGAAACTAAGAGTTGGTTCTTTGAGAAGACAAACAAAATGGCAAACCTTTAGCTGAACTGATCAAGAAAAAATGAGACAAAACTCAATAAAGGAAAATTATGAATTAAGGAGGGGAGACTAAAACTGATACCACAGAAATACAAAGGATTGTAAGAGGCTACTATGAACAACTGTATGCCAACAAATTGCATAACTTAGAAGAAATGAATAAATTCCTGGAAACAGACAACATAGCAAGACTGAATCATAAAGAAATAGAAAACTTGAACAGACCAATCACAACTAAAGAGATTGAATTTGTTAGCAAACCTCCTAACAAAGAAAAGCCCAGGACCAGACAGTTTCAAAAGTAAATTTTATGAAATATTTAAAGACTTGATACTAATCTTTCTCAAACTCTTCCAAAAACTTATAGAGCAGGGAATACTCCCAAACTCATTTTACAAGGCCAGCATTACCCTGATACCAAAGACAGATAAAGACACTACAGGAAAAGAAAATTACAGGCCAATATCCCAGATAAATACAGACACAAAAATTCTCAACAAAACACTAGCACACCAAATCCAACAGCACATTGAAAGGATCATACACCATGATCACATGGGATTTATCCCTGGGATGAAAGGATGACTCAACATACAGAAATCAATAAATGTGATATACCCCATTAATAGAATTAAGGGTAAAAATCATATAATTCTCCAAAGAAATGAAGAAAAAAATTTGATAAAATTCAACACCCTTTTATGATAAAAGCTCACAACTATTTGGGTATAGAAAGAACATATCTCAACATAGTAAAGGCCATGCATAAGAATCCTTTGCTAACATCATACTTAGTAGACTAAATTTGAAAGTTTCCCTTTAAGATCAGGAACAAGACAAAGATGTGCACTCTTACCATTCTTATTCAATATAGTACTGGAAGCCCTAGCCAGAGCAATTAGGCAAGATAAAGAAATAAAAGGAATTATGGGGCCGGCTGCGTGGCCAAGTGGTTAAGTTTGTATACTCCGCTATGCTGGCCCAGGGTTTCGCCAGTTTGGATCCTGGGCGCAGAGATGGCACCCCTCACCAGGCCACGTTGAGGTGGCATCCCACATGCCACAACTAGAAGAATCTGCAACTAAGATATACAACTATGTACAAAGGTGGTTTGGGGAGATAAAGCAGGAAAAAAACAAAACAAAACAAAGATTGGCAACAGCTGTTAGCTCAGGTGCCAATCTTTAAAAACAAAACAAACAAACAAATAAAAAGAAATAAAAGGAATTCAAGCCAGAAAGGAAGAAAATTCTTTGTAGATGACATGATCTTATATTCATAAAATCCTAAAGAAGCCACAAAAAAACTGTTAGAATTGATAAATTCAGTCGAGTTGGAGGATACAAAATCAAACCATAAAAATCATTTGCATTTATATACATTTACAATGAAAGATATGAAAAAGAAACTTTAAACATCCCATTTATAATAGTACCAAAAACAATAAAATACTTAGGAATAAATTTAACCAAGGAGGTGAAAGACCTGTACACAGTAAACTATAAGACATTAAAGAAAGAAACTGAAAGAGACACAAATAAATGAAAAGATATCCTGTGTTCATGGATCAGAAAAATTAATATTGTTACAATAACTGTACTATCAAAGCAACCTATAGATTCAATGCAATCTTTATCAGAATTCCAATGGTATTTTTCATAAAAACAAAAAGCAATACTAAAATTCATATGGAGCTACAAAAGACCCCAAATAAACAAAGCAATCTTGAGAAAGAAGTACAAAGCTGGGGCATAATACTTCCTGATTTCAAACTATGCTACAAAGCTATACTAATCAAAACCATATGGTATTGGCCTTAAAATAGACAAACAAAAGGACAGAATTGAGAGACCAGATATAAAATCACACATGTGTAGTCAACTAACCTTTGACAAGGGTGCCAAGAACACACAATGGGGAAAGGATGATCTCTTCATTGAACGATGTTGGGAAAACTGAGTATCCACATGCAAAGGAATGAAACTGGACCCTTATACTACACCATAAACACAAATTAACTCAAAATGGATTAAATACTTAAATGTGAGACCTAAAATCGTAAAACTCCTAGAAGACAACATCTTTGATAACGTCTTGGCAATGACTTTTTCGATATAACACCAAAAGCACAAGCAACAAAAGCAAAAATAAACAAGTGGGACGACTACATCAAACTAAAAAGTTTCTGCACAGCAAAGGAAACAGCTAATAAAATAAAAAGGCAACCTATGGAATGGGATAAAATATTTGCAAACTGTACATCTGATAAGGGGTTAATATTAAAAATATATAAAGAACTCACTTACCTCAACAGGAAAAAAACCCAGAATAGTCTGATTTAAAAATTAGCAAAGAACCTTAATACACCTTTTCCCAAAGAAGATATTCAAATGGCCAACAGGTACATGAAAGGGTGCTCAAGATGACGAATCACCGGGGAAATGCAAATCAAAACCACAATAAGATAGCACCTCAAACCTGTTAGAATGGTTATTATCAAAAGATAAGAGATATCAAGTGCTGGCAAGGTTGTGGAGTAAAGGGAACCCTTGTGCACTTTCTTTTTTTTGAGGAAGATTAGCCCTGAGCTAACATCTGCTGCCAATCCTCCTCTTTTTGTTGAGGAAGACTTGCCCTGAGCTAACATCCATGCCCATCTTCCTCCACTTAATATGTGGGATGCCTTCCACAGCATGGCTTGCCAAGTGGTGCCATGTCCACACCCGGGATCCGAACCGGTGAACCCCAGGCCACCAAAGCAGAGCATGCGCACTTAACGCTGCACCGCCAGGCCGGCCCCCTTGTGAACATTTGGTGGGAATGTAAATTGGTACGGCCACTATAGAAGAGAGAATAGAGGTACCTCAAAACATTAAAAATAGAACTACTATTGATCAAGGAATCTCCTTTCTGGGCTTATATCTGACGGATATAAAATCAGTATCTTTAAGAGATTTATGCACCTACATGTTCATTGCAGCATTACTCACAATAGCTAAGACATGGAAACAACCTAAGTGTCCATCAATGGATAAATATATTTTAAAAATGTAGTGTATGTACACAATGGAATAATATTCAGCCATAAAAAAGAAGGCAATTCTGCCATTTGCAATAACATGGATGAAGTTTGAGGGCATTAAGCTAAGTGAAATAAGTTAAACAAGAGAAAGATAAATACTATACGATATTACTTATATGTGGAAAGTAAAAAACCCAATCTCATCAAAACAAAGCAGATTCTTGGTTGCCAGGGGCCACTAGGTGGGGTAAATGGGAAGATGTTGGTCGAGGGTACTAGTTTTCAACTATAAAATGAATAAATCTGGAGATATAATGTACAGCATGTTGACTATAGTTAACAACAATGTATTATATACTTTAAAGTCGCTAAGATAGCACATAGTTCCCACTATGTGAAGTGATGAATGTGTAAACTAAACTTACGTGGTAATGACTTCACAATATACACTTAGATCAAATCATTATGTTGTACACCTTAAACTTACACAATGTTGTATGCCATATCTCACTAAAGTTGGGGAAAATTTTTTAAAAGTATAAAAGCATACTCCTCCAATCTTACAGATGTTTGCCATTTACTTTGTTCAGGAATTTCTTTTTATGCTAGATTCCAGTGAATTGTGCTGGATGTGGGGTAATTATTCAGAAACTCTTTAAATGCTTTCAATAAAGAGGCACAGAATGATTGTAACAATAATTGCATGACTTATAAAGGAACAGAGGACTTCACTAGAAGACAGTGAAGAGAATTTAGCCAACACAAAGAACTAATTTAACTTCGGAATCCCATGTAAGATAGGGTGTTAGAAAATAAGCCCTGAAGTGTTGCTCCAGGTATATGTTGATCAGAGAGAAATCTCAGTGGGTATAAGAAAGATTTGTAATGAGATATAAAAATGGGAAGTCAAGTTCAAGAGAAGAAGCATCCGGCACTACATACATGTGAGTCCTGGAAATGATAAATTACTGAATGGACTGAAGTGTGACAGTGGGTCCAATGTTGCTTGGACATGATATAATGGGAAGGAGTGAATATGCTATATGACATGTTTTCCATCTCCCTGAAATAAGGGTTTCAAGAAATTAATCTGAGCTATTCTAAAACACAGGTTGCCTCTTACCTTGCAATCACTTGTGCAGCATTCCCCAGAACCACAGTCTTTACCCTTTTTCAACGAACACGTTCTAGGATCACAGCAGGATTTATGAGTACAATTCTGAAAACAAATGCTGTGTTAATCATGCATGATTGGGTACCATCAAATAAAGCTGCAACACAGAATTTCTTTCAAATTATGATGCTTTTCGTAAATTCATAGTTTCAGTAATCCTGTTCTTCATATAAGAATTATAGAAATCAACACCTCATTCACTAGTTTGTAAAAGAAATGTGTTGTTTCACTACACTCCATATAACTTGAACAATATTAAAATACTACTGTGGAGTCAAAGCCTTAGAGGAAATAGTTCATAGATACCTTGTTAACTACTATTGTCTTCAAATCTTTTTTTATATTCTTGCTTTTATAATAAATTATATAAGCCAAATCTATTCACATGTAGAACTTCTCTGATGTGAAACTGTCAAAAGCAACATTCAGACTCTGGGCTTCTCTCTCTGAAACGGCAAAATCTCAAACCTCAACCCAGAAAAAGTGGTCCAGAGCTAGTCTGGTCTATCCAGACCTGGTTTCACTGGGATGGTGGCCCCATACTTACTTTGATCTTCTAAGAGTCAGGGCCTTCAATCAGCTTTTCTACTCTTAAATAGCAAGTTTGTTCTAAATTATGCAGTTTACCAATATCAGAAGTTTGAGTTTTCTGGTGTTTTGTTATTGGCATTTTTTGCTGGTATTTTCAGTAAACAGCTTGACCATAGGCAGCAGTATTATACTTTTAAAAAGTTTTTATTTCATATATTGACTCATGCACTCAAAGTTTAAACATTCTTTTGTTAGCTTTTTTTTCATACTGTTTCTTTTAATCAAATGCTCTCTCCCTTTATGATTTGATGCCTTTACTTAATGTTATATTTGGGTCCCTTTCTCTTTATTTTTTGCATATTTATTATAGGTTTTTGGTTTGTGATTGCCATGAGGCTCATACATAATAACCTACATAAACAGCAATCCATATTAAGTCAGTTGTCTCTTAAGTTGGCCTTATACTTTTACTCCCCTCCCCTACATTTTGTTTTTGATACCATACTCAAACTCCTCTTTGTATATGTATCCCTTGACTTGTTATAATGGAGATATATATTTTTAGTGCTTTTGTCTTTTTACCGTAACACTAGCTTTATAGATGGTTGATCCACTACTTTTACTGTATTTTTGCCTTTATTGGTGATATTTCTTCTTTGATAATTTTCTTATTGCTATTTGTGGTCTTTTCTTTTCCACTTAAATAAGCCCTTTTAATATTTCTCATAGGGCTGGTTTATTGGTGATAAACATTTTTAGTTTCTGCTTGTCTGGGAAAGTCTTTATCTCTCCTTCCATTCTGAATGATAACCTTGGCATGTAGAATATTCTTAGCTGTAATTGTTTTCCTTTCAGAACTCTTAGTATGTTGTGACACTCCCTTCTAGCCTCTAAGGTTTCTGCTGGGAAGTCAACTGATAGTCTTATGGGGTTTCCTTTGTATGTAAATAGTTGCCTTTCTCTTGCAGCTTTTAGGATTCTCTCTTTGTCTTCAATTATGGACATTTTAATGTGCCTTGGTGTGGGCCTCTGGGTTCATCTTGTTTGACCCCCTCTGTGCTTCCTGTACCTGGCTGTCTGTTTCTTTCCTCAGGTTAGGGGAGTTTTCAGCAATTATTTTTTCTAATAGATTCTCTTCCCCTTTGTCTCTCTCTCCTTCTGGGACACGTATAATACAGGTGTTAGTATGCTTGATGTTGTCCCAGAGGTCCCTTTGACTATTCTCATTACTTTAACTCCTTTTTCTTTTTTCTATCCAGCTAGCGTGATTTCCTCTGCTCATTCATCCAGATCACTGATCCATTCTTCTGTATCATCTACTTTTGTTGATTCCCTCTAGTGAATTTTACATTTCCTTTATTGTATTCTTCAGTTCTGATTGGTTTGTATATTTTCCTTGTTGAAGTTCTTACTGTGTTCATCTGTTCTTCTCCCAAGATCACTGAGCATCCTTATGACTGTTTGTACTCTTTATCAGATAGATTGTTTAGTACTCTTTTGTTTAGTACTTTTTCTGAGGATTTATCCTGTTCCCTTATTTGGAGTATATGCCTTTGTCTCCACATTTTCCCTGCTTTTCTGTGCTTATATCTATCTATTAAGTAGATCAGCCACATCTCTCAATCTTGGAAATGTGGCCTTCGGTAAGAGATGCCTTATGAGGCCCAGCAACATGCTTCCCTCTTATCTCCCTTCCAAATGTTCCAGGAGTGTCCTGTGTGTGGGCTACATGTGTCCTTCTTTTGTGATGGGGTTGCTCTTGTTACGGGTACATGGGTAGGCTAGGCTAGCCCCTCAGCTGCTGGTTGTGAGGCTCAGCCACGTGTGGCTGCTACAGTCACCTCAGTCACTTTATTGGGTGGAGCAAACTCTTGCACTGTTGCTTGCAAGGCCCCCAGTGTGACTGGTTGCTAGGCTCATGGGCTCACAATTGCTGCAGGCCTCTGGTGAGGCTCCTTGTGGTACAGCTCTCTCAGCAGCACAGATGGGTGGGGCTGGCCCTAGGCATGGCAGCACACAATCATTTCAGGGGTTAAAAGGCAGGGCTTATCCCTTTTGCAGCTGTTAGAGATGGCCAGCAGCACAAGTCTGCTGCAGCTGACATGCCCCACTGCCTACAGGCCCACACATCCTTCCAACACTGGCCTGACTCACACACATGCTCCACCAAGGCAGGCCCACTCACCTCACAGCTGAGACCCCACAAACTCCACCCATATGGGCCCACAAGTTCCCCAAGGGCTTGTTGGTGGGTGGGACCAGTCCTGGGGTGGTTGTCTGCCTGGCTGAGCTGGATTAAATTGGTGCTCTAGTGGGCAGGGCAAACTCCTGCACTAACAAGTCAGAAGAAGAAATCCAATGGTATCTGCCAGTGTCCATGTGAGCATGACTGAAGTAGGTCACAATAATGGCCACCGCCAGTGTCTCAGTCCCTGGGTAGGTGGGGCCAGCTGCCTCCTGCCTCTCTGAGATGCTCTCGGAGCTTAGCAAGTGAGTTTCTTTTACCAAAGAACTATGAAGCTTTCTTTTTGGTGTTTTTGTGTTGGTTTCCGGAACAGGTGAATCTGTACATGGGCTGTTTAAGAGCTTTTCTTTCTCTGAAGTTCAATAGTTTTTCTGGGTGTATTCTCTCATTGGTTTTCAAAGCTAATAAAGCCAAGTGTCATGGGAACTAATCTCAGTTATGCTGAATTCAAAGGCTAGGATGCCTACTGTGGCATAGCTCTCTTGCTCAGATCTCTCCACTCCTCTTGGAAAAGCTTCTTACCTTTACAATTGCTCCCAGTCATGAAGAACTATGGCTAGGATGTGCTTCTTTTCCTTAGCCGGGTGTATTTCTGCTTCTTCCCCCTCTGTCAGTGTTGTCCCTTGTTGTGGGGGTTCTTTTCATCCAGTTTTCACACCTCTCTCATATGTAATCATTCCACAGGTAGTTGTAGATTTGTTACATCCATGAGAGAAGGTGAGTTCAGAGTCCTCCTACGCCACCATCTTCTCAGAATTCTCAAGTTAATTGCATGATGAGAGGTCAAGGTTTATTTTATTTACATGGATATCCAATTCACACAACACTTTTGTTGAAAAGATTTTCTTCATCCATTAAATTGCCTTATTATATTGGCAGAAAATCAATTGACCACATAAATATCATTTTATTTCTGGATTCTCTATACTGTTCTATTAAGCTATATATTTATGCTTTGGTCAATATCACATTGTCTTTATCATAGCCTTACAGAAAATTTTGAAATTTATAGAAACTTCGTGTATGTGCTCCACCTTTGTTCTTTTTCTTTTAATTGCTTTGTCTATTCCAGGTCCTTTGCATTTCCATATAAGTTGTAGAATCACTTTGTCAATTTCTACCAAAGATCAGCGGAGTTTAGACTGGGATTGTGTTGAATGTATAGACCAACGTATGTAGAGTTAAAATCTTAATAATATTGTGTCTTCCAAACCATGAAACTGGGATATGTCTCTGTTCTTCCAATCTTCTTTCATTTCTCTGAGCAATTTAAGTTTTTATTTTACAGGTCTTGCACATATTCTGTTAAAATTTCTGTATATATGTTTCATGTTTTTTGAAACAATGTATATGAAAGTGTACTTTTTGTTTCACGTTCCATTTGTTTATTGCTTATACATAGAAATCCAACTGAATTGTTTTAGATTTACCTTCTATCCAGTGACTTGCATTCAACTAATTAGTTTTGGTAGCTTTTGGGGGAGATTGCTTAGGATTCTCTAGTCACGTGGCCAAATTGAGTTTGATTAAAGACAGTTTTACTTCTTCCTTTCAAAGCATATGTCTTTCTTTATCTCGTCCTACTGCAATGGCTGTAACATCCACTACAATGTTGAAGGAAGTGGTGAGAATGAACATCTTTGCCTTGCTCCAGATATTAAGGGAAAACACTGAGTCTTTCACTAGTGAGTATGATGATAGTTGTAGGGTTTTCAGAGAGGTACTTTATTAGAGAGAGGAGGTTCTCTTCTACTCCTTGAGTTCTGAGAGAGGTTATAATGAATTGGCGCTAAATTTTCTCAAATGATTTTTTTCTCAACTATTCTGTTGTTATGGTGACTTACATTGAATGACTTGCATATGTTAAAACAATCTTGTATTCTTGTGATAAACCCTATTTGATCAAGACTTATTAAACTATTTATATGTTGTTCACGAGGAATATTGGTGTGACTTTCTTTTCTTTTAATTTTCCTGTCTAGTTTTGACTTCAGACCAATACTCACTTTCTGAAATGAGTTGCAAAATGCCTCTTTAATCTATTATCAGAAGATCCATGTATAATGGCATTATTTCTTCCATATATGTTTGATAAAATTCACTAGTGAAGTAATATGAATTTGGAGTTACTTTTTGAAAATATGTTAATTACAAATTTAATTTCTTCACTAAATATAGACCTGTTCAAATTTTCTCTTCTTATATCATTTGTGATAATCTGAGTCTTTTAAGAAACTTGCCAATTTTACCTAAGTTGAAAAATTTATTTTTGTAGTTTTTAATATTTCTTATTTTTAATGTATGTAGAATATGTAGCAATGTGCCCTCTTTCATTCCTGATACTATTAGTTTTTGTCTCATTTTTCTTTCATCAGCACAGCGAGAGGTTTATTAAGTATATTGATTTTTTCCAAAGCACCAGTTTTTATTTTCATTGATTTTCATTCTCTGGTTTCTACCTCACTGATTTTTGCTTTTATCTTTATCACTACTTCCTTCTATTTATTTTGCATTTAATTTAGACTAATATTCTAGTTCCCTAAAGTAGCATTCTAAATAATTTATTTCAGATGTTTTTTATTCTCTATTATAAGCATTTAAAGCTTTATAGTTTACTCAAAACACTGTGTTAAGTGAATCTCATAGGTTTTGACATGTTTTCATTTGCATACTGTTAAAATATATTCTAATTGCCTCTGTGATTTCTTCTTTGAGTCATGGGCCATTAAGAAGTGATAGCTTATTTTCCAAATATTTGGGGGCTTTTCAAGATATCTTATTATTCTTGATTTCTAATTTAATTCTCAATGCAAAATAACTATGTTGAGATTGACTTCATGGCTCAGAATATACTCTATCTTGATGAATATGCCAAGTGCACTTGAAAAGAATGTTTTTATTTAGTTCTTAAATATAGTATCCAGTAAATATCAATTATATTAAGGTGGTTGATAGTATTGTTCAGGTCTTCTAGATCCTTACTCACTTTTTGTCTAGTTGTTCTATCAACTGCTGAGAGATCCAAAGTAAACCTCCAAATACAATAGTGGATTCTCCCATTTCTCCCTTTAGTTTTATCAGTGATTGCTTCATGAAATTTGAAGATCTAATATGTGTATGTGTTTGTGTGTAAATATGATACATTTTTATAAATTTAAATGTATATTTATTGTTGTTATATCTTTATATATTTACCTTTTTATCATTTTAAAAGATTAGTATATCTGTGTGTTTACTCTTTATATTAATATAGTCACTACAGCTCTTTTATATTTACTGTTTGCTTGTTATACCCTTTTCCATTCTTTTTTTTTTTTTTTTTTTTTACCTTACAGGGCATTTGGGCTTAAAATGTATCTTTTACAGATAGCATGTAATTGATTCTTGATTTTTATCTAGTCTGACAATCTGTGCCTTTTGATCAGTGTTTTGCCTATTTACATTTAATATAATTATTAATATGTGTGTATTTCAATTTGTCATTTTGCTGTTTGTTTCCTATTTGCCTTGTCTTATTTTTGTTCCAGATTCTTCCTTTCTTGCCTTATTTTGTGTTTGAAGTATGTCCAGTATTTCATTTTGACTTCACTATTGGTTTTTTAGCTATATCACTTTGCATATTTTTTTAATATTTGCTCTAGTATTTACAGTAAGTATTTTTAAAGTACATAATGCACTTAGAGTTAATACTTATTTTTTTCAGGTAAATTATGGAAACTCTGCAATATTTAATTCAATTTACCCTTCCATCTTTAGTGCTATCATTGTTACTGTATAGACGTAGCTATACAGATACACATAAGTAGATATACACGTACATGTGTATGTATATATGTATTTCTGTCTATATGTATATACACATATGTACATATATACATATGTGTGTATATGTACACAAATATACACATATCTATGTACATATGTATGCATATTTATATGTGCATGTGTATGTGTATTTATGTATGAATGCATAGTATATAAGTGTGTATATATATTTACCTATGTGTACATGTATATAGCATAGCCAAATAAAGAGCAGAAAAGAGAAAACATACACATACTTATTGATATTTACCCACATATTTAGCATTTCTTGTGCTCATCTTTCTTTCTGTAGATCAAACAATCATCTTCTGCCTTGGCTTTCAGCCTGAAAAATTTCAAATTCTTTGAATTTTTTGTTGGGCAAGTTACTGGTGACATATTCTCTCAGCTTTTGCTTAACTGAGAATAACTTTATTTGGTTCCATTTTACAGGATAATTTCTTTGGGTATAGAGATTTTGGTCGTTGATTTTTTTTTCTTTCAGCACTTTTGTCATTCGAAAGTCTACTGACCTCCATTATTTGTGATAAGAAGTCAGCTAGATTTTGTATCATTGCACCGTATATCTAATGTGTCTATTTTTAGGCTGCAATGAAGGTTTTCTTTTATATTGGGGCTTTGGGAGGTTTTACTTTGCTGTGTATAGAATTGGTTTTCTTTGTGTCTATCTGCTTGTAGTTATCTGAGTGTCTCAGATATGTAAATAAATGTTTTTCTTCAAATATAGAAAACAGTAAGCATTATTCCTAAAAATATTTTGTTTCTGCCACACTTCTCTTTTCTTTATCTTGAAATCCAATTACAGGTATATTGGGCTACTTAACACTTCCTGTCAAGTCCCTGAGGTTTTGATCATTTTTCTTCAACTTTTTTTCTCTCTGCTCTATAGATTATATAATTCTTATTGTTCTACTGTCAGGTTCATTGACTCTTTCTTCTGATATCTCTTATCTGCTTTTGGGCTCATCCAATGAATTTTTCATTTCAGTTATTGTACTTTTCACTTCTAGACTTTAAGTTTATATGTTTTTATAGTCATTTATCTGTTGAGATCCCAAACTATTCACTCATTATATTAATTTTTCCTTAAATTATTTGAGCATAATTTCCTTTAATTCTCTAAAAACATTCAAAATAACTACTGTGAAGTCTTCATCTGCTAAATACAATATCTTGGACTTCTCAGAGTCAGTTTCCCTTAACTGCCCATTTTCCTGAATGTTGTTCACACTTTCCTGTTTCTCGGAATGTCTAGTAATTTTTGGTTAATAAGTTAGACATTATAGATGAAATGATATAATGACTGTATCCAGCTGTGCCCTTCTGGAGATTTGCTTTCCTTGCAGGGAATTAAGTTGCCTGGGAATAAACTGTAAACTTTGTCTCCCCCACAGTGTGCAGCAGCTATCTCTGCTCAACTCATACGGCTGCCAGCCACTGAATTTTTGGCTTGATTCCCTGATATAATGTAGCATTCAGCTGAGGATTTAGGCAGAGATAGCACTTAGATTTCAGAATACAATCTTCTGTAGTTTCATTGTTTCTGAAGATTCCCTTTAATTTCCAATTGCAGTTCCAGTCTCAGGTCTATATTCTGATATCTGAAACCAATAAGCCATCAGATTTCTGCTGCCTGAGTTGCATGTAGTTGGGAAATATTCTCTAAAAAAACCCCATGAAACTCACAGAGCTCCCCTGGTACACGTGTGTCTTTCAAGAGCCTCACCCTTCTTTTCTGCCCCATGGAGTATTTCTGGTCCATGCATATGTATACAGTTAATAATCAGATTTTAGGACTTAAACTTTCACAATTCTCTCACTTTCAGGATTTTCTCCTTAACTTTCTAGTGGCTCTCATCTCTGAACTCTGTTCTCTGCCACATTGAGCCAGGAGGGCTGCAGTTTTCCACAGCCATTTAATTTGGCCACAGCTGTGGAGGTGGAGGAGCACCCTTAGGCTAGAAAGACATAATTTCACAATTCTTACCTATTCCAGCTGCAGTTTTTTAAGAGTAAATTCTCCTCTGGCTTCTTTCTTCTATTAGATGTGTTCTGATGCCATTTAATAATATATATATGTAGCATATGTAAATATATATATTTGTATATAATATACATTTTTTATATTTTAATTTATATGTATATATAATATATTCCATATTTTACAAGTACCATCTCTGACAGTTTCCATATGACTACTTCACTTTGTTGTCAACACCTTGTCTATCATCTCTCATCTTTGTTTTGATTTGATCTTAGTTCTATATTTTTTCAAGTACTTTTTTAGCAGTGTCTTTATTAAATGTGTTCTTAAACTCGTCTATAGTTTTATATTTTCTACAAGTGACATAATTAATTTTCAAATATTTTTAATTGGCATCACCTGTCAATACAAAACATTTTCTCCCTATTTTAGCAAACTATGCATTTTGCTATCCCATTGGTAATAGTCTATAGTCTTTAGATGTTCTCGTCTGTTTTTGTTACTGCTTATTATTAAAGGTAAACTTCTTCAACTCCTTAGACACTGTTTGTGAAAACTAATTATAAATTTGGAGCTGAAGTATACACTAAAGAAAGTCAGAAGGTAATATCTGAGGACATTGAAACATTATTTAAAGAACCTTTGCTCTGCACTTCAAAAAATAGCAAACAGGAGACTTAAAGGCTTCCATATTCCTCAAAGTTGTTTATAAAATTCATTTTCCTAAAAGACAAGGTCTTTACCATCTTTCCCAACTACTATACACATATATAGGAAATGAAAAATCTTTGAAAAACTTTCTACTAACCTCAAGAGTGCCACAGTCACATTGTTCACCTGCTTCCAAGACTCCATTGCCACATACCCTCCTCTGTTTGTAAACTGGTGTATCAGGAAGGATATTATGAAGACACTTAAGGCCAGAATGTGAAGCAAAATGTTTAAAGTCATCCAAGCTACAGGTACTAAAGTCCTTTGCACCCCCAGAGTACCTAAAATATCAAAAAACATTAGTATGACAAACATTACTGCTGTAGATCTTTGCATTTCACCAAATGTATGCTATTTTGAAGAGAGACTTAAAGAGCCTTATTATTCATGGAAACAATAAGCACACTTATGAAAACACTGATTGCATTGCTAACATGTTTTAAGACATTTTTTACATTTCATCAAGAAAATTCTTGTAATGAAAATTAAAAATTCCAAAACCTTTTTATTGCTACCCATCTTGTTTAAACAAGACGTATTATTTATCTATCCTATGACCTTTATTAAGTCTTTAAACATAGGAACTGTGTTATTCTTGTTTACCTTCCCAGTGCCAAACAACAGAATCTTACATTTTTGGCCTCAGTGTTTAATATACTTTTTATCCACTTATATCCTTTTTGTACTTTTTCTGTAAATACTGATATGAACACGTCTGTATTAACTTTAGTAGCATATTTTAGAGCTTTTGCTCTCCAGAATTAAACATTTTTCAAATGAAAGTCTGTTATTTGAAGCACACTATGGGAGAGGCCACAGGAGTGCCTACTCTGACGGAGTGAGGGCTGTTCGCACTTTGGTAGCACCTCAGCATCCAACTGAAACACTAGAAAGAATATGATTTAAGAGTAAAGACTATGCCCTAGACCAGGAGGTGACAAACCTTTTCTGTAAAGGGTCAGATAATAAATATTCTAGGCTTATATGTAATATACTCCATTGCAACTACTCAGCTCTGCCATTGTAGTGCAAAAGCAGCCATAAACAATATTCAAACCAATAAACCTGGCCATATTTCAATAAAATTTTACTTACAAAACAAGCAGCCAGCCAAATTTGGTCTATGAATTGTTGTTGGTTGACCTCTGCCTTATACTAAAATCTACTCTATATCAATTTTAACAGAGCCTAAATTCAAGTTCTGACAAGATACCCAGAGGGGAATGAGTTGGGAAGTTCAGTCCTGCCAATTTAGAGGGATCCTGAAATACCTTGAGTTTTCCATAGATCCACACTAACAAAGCATAAAAGCAAGCATATAAAAATCAAAATGATTAGCCAATAAATGAATTACCTGGTAGAAAAATAATCAATGACTTTCAGAGGAAGGTAGGGGAATCCACGCTCTCTATTCTGTTATCAACAATATCCAATATGCTAATAACAATAATGGACATATAAAGAAATAAGAAAATGTGATCTATAGTCAATAAGAAAAGCAGCTAATAGAAATCAACACTGAGATGGCAAAGGTAATAGGTTTGGCATACAGATAGTTAAAAGTAGCCACTGCAAATATACTTAAATAATTAAAGAAAAATGTTTAAATAAGTCAGAGAAATTACTGTCTTACAATTCTAGAGCAAATAAAACTAATTGTAAATAGAAATCAGATCAGTGGTTGTCTGGGGCAAGAGAGGAAAGTAGAAGGAGAGCCAAGGGTCACAAAGAAACTTTCTGTGGAGATAGAAATGTTGCATAGCCTGACTGACACTGTGGTTCAGAGATTTAGTTATATTTGTCAAACGTCATAAACTCATACACTTAAAGTGTATGAATTTCACTGTGGACAAATCATACCTCAATAAAGTTGATTTTTTATAAAGTATATAAATAAAACACTCAAAAAGATGGTGAAATAATATTCTCTGAGAAATGATTTATCACAGGGGAGAAGAAATAAATTTAGTTATTATCTACTTTTGTGCCTTTACAAAAATTGAGGATATCATGGATTCAATAATCAAAGGATAAAGTGAAATAATGACAAAATATACTGAGCTGATTAAGTCATTATTGGCAACATATTTACTGAGCAATTTTCTAGGATAACTGGTATGTAGTAAAAGTAGACCAAGTACCTGTTGAGGGCAAAAAGTATGAACATCAGAAAATAAATATGTGAAATAAGTCAGATAGTTATTAGAATGATGAAGAAAAATAAAACAACATAACATACACGGGAATAAAAGATACTATTTTAGAAGAGAAGACATTTATTTTTAAAAAAAAATACTGTAGCTAACATCATACTTATCATGAAAAACTGAACGCTTTTCCCATAAGATTGGTAACAAGGCAAGAATATCCACTTTCACCACATCAGTTCACATTGGACTGAAGTTATTTCAAGTGCAATTAAGCAAGAAAAAGGAATTTCATGCAAATAGATAGAAAGGAAAAAATAAAACTGTTCTTATTCATGCATGACAAAATCTTGTTTGTAGAAGATCTTAAGGAATCAACAAACAAAATCTCCTGGAACTTCTAATGAGTTTAGCAAGTTTGCAGCACAGAAAGTTCACATACAAAAATCAATTATATTTCTAAGTACTAGCAATGAAGAATCTGAAAATGAAATTAAGAAAACAATTCTATGCATAAGAGCAAAAGAAAATAATAAAATGCTTAAGGATAAATTTAACAAAACAAGTACAAAACATGTAAACTGTAAAATATAATACATTGCTGAGAAAAATTTTAAAAGACCTAAGTAATTAAGACATATGCCATATTCAAGTATCAAAAGACTCAATATTGTTAAGATGCTGATTCTCCCAAAATTTAACTATGCAATTGAATAATGCAATATTTATCAAAATCACAGGAGTTTTCATAAAAATTGGAAAGCTGATAATAAAATGTATATGAAAATGCAAAGGACCTAGAACAGCCAAAACTATTTTGGAAAAGATGAAAAAACTTGGGGACTTGCACTACCTGATTTCAAAATTCAATATAAAGCTACAGTAATAAAGACAGTATGCTTTTCCATAAGGGTAGGCATACAGGTTAATGACACAAAATAGAGATTCCAATAAAAATCCACGCATTTATGTTCAATCTATTTTTTGACAAAGTTGCCAAGGCAATTAAGCGGGGGAAAGGATGAGTCTTTTCAACAAGAGGTATTGGAATACTTGGAAATCCGCATAGCCAAAATAAAAATAAACTTAAGTATACACAATAAACTAAAAATGGATCATAAAACTGCATATAACAGCTATAAAACCATGATGCATAAAAGAAAACAACTGATAAACTGTACGTCATCAAAAGTAAAAACATTTTCTAAAAAAGGCACTATATGGAGGAAATATTTGGAAGTAGTGTACCTGATAAAGGACTCACAGCAAGAATATATAAATAATTCTTACAACTCAATAAGAGCATGAAAATCTCAATCTTTATTTACAAAAACGAACAAAAGTTTTGAATAGGCTCTTCACCAAAGAAGATATACAAAACTATTAAGCATGAAAATATGTTCAATATCATTAGCCTCTAGGGAAACGCAGATTAAAACCAATATGAGATAAAACTACATACCCACTAAAATGATTCAGATTAAACATACTGAGCATACAAAGTCTTGGTGCTAATGTGAAACCACCAGGACTGGCTATATAATTTGTGGGAAACAATGAAAAATGGAAACCCAGGGCCCCTTGCTTATAAAGTAGGGGGAAAGTATTATTTATGATACTAAAATAAAAAGTTTTTTCCTTTCTTCAGCAATTTTTCTCTCTCAATGGGTCGTAGTATCATTTATTTGCAATTTAATGTATTTCAAGATAAAAATTTTTAATTTAAATTATTAACACGAATTGTACTATTCATCCTTATACTGAATGATGCAGTTTTAAATGCAAATACCAAAGCATTTAACTTATCAGAATCACTAAAACTATATAACTCACATCATCTGTCCCTAGAGGGTACCTTCAATCCAGCCAGAAGAGAAAAATACAAGCCAGACTCTGGAAGATTAGGAAGGAAGAAGAGTGTTTGCCCAGGGGTGAAGAGGCCTGGGGGAGTGTCGGGCCTATTTTGGCGTGTGTTCCATCTGCACTTGAAAAGAATGTGTATTCTGAAGTAGTTGGGCACAGTGTTCTATAACTGTCATTTACTTTAGTTTGGTTAACAGAAGTGTAAAAGTTCCTGATGAAAATATTTTTAAAAAGGAATATATACATTTAACAAAGAACATTGTCTTACACTGCATCTGGTGACATTGTGCAAATATCTCCTGAACAATAGCAGCCGTCAGCATCATCATAACTCAACCCCAGATTAAAGCCGAGCAACTGCACAACACTGACAGTGTACGACTCCAAGGACAAGCCCTCGGGATACTAAACATAAGGAAAATTTTAAAAAAAGAGTTAGCTAAGAATCCTATCCAGTTATAAAGAAGACAATATTTACTATAATCAAACATTAGTACATAAAAGTTATGTTTAACTTATGATTGCATCTAAGACACCTTGTAGATACAACTGGAGTAGAGTTATATAGGCATTTGGATGTTAGACATTAAACACAGATGAGTAAACACACACTTTAATTTTGAAATACTTAATGACAATACCAGCTATCTTAGCAAATCTAATAGAGTCTTAAATCTCACATTGTATTGCTTCTTTGAATTATTTTAAACAAAATACCTTTAATCTTTTATTTTAATAATCAATTCTACATTCTCTTAATAGTAGGCAGCCTCTAAAATGGATGCCAATGATCCCTGCCTTCTCATATGTAGGTCTTCACGTAGTCCCACTCCATTGAGTGGAAGGTGGACTTGCCTCTCATCAACTGAATATAGAAGAAGTGATGGGTCATCATTTCCAAGACAGGTTATAAAAAGACTGACGTCTTGGATTCTGTGTCTCACTCTCTGTTGCTCTTTCTGGGGGAAGCCAGTTACTACGTCATGAAGTAGGCCTAAGGAGAGGTCCACATGGGTGAACTTGGACAGATTTTCTAAAGTCAGCCAACAGCCACAAGACTGAGCTTGGAAGCAAATCCTCACATGCTAACCCTTGAGGTAAATAAAGACTCATTATATATGAGGCCCTTTTGTTATGTCTCCCATATCTTTATAATTTTTTTTTATCTTGCTCTATCTCATAAGGGCTGGAGGCCAGATCCAATTTGCATACTCTCCTGAGATCTGCTAACCATAGATTTTCCCATGGCCTAGGCAGCAGCTAATCTGATATGAGACCAATTTGAGCCTAAACTCCCACCATCACAGACATAAAACCATCAAGTGCAGCTGCTTGAAAGTGGCCCAGCAGCATGGGTTACAAACAGCAAGCTCAGGAAATACACTAGAATCTCTAATGTCAAAGTAAGAAAACCAATACATTTCCTCCATCCAATTTGTGCCATAGGAGAGGCAGTCCTTGAGCAGGCCTAGGGTGGAGGTTTTAGAGTCTGAGGTGAAGACATCTTAATGACTGTTGGTCTCATTGTAATTGGTCTAGGTTCTTTCATTGGTTTGCAATCTGAAGGTCCAATCCTCCAAGTAAGTCATTGCTTCAACCAGACAATGGCAAATGCTGAGGCCCACGTGCCACTGAGTTTGGCTTACACAAATCTTACAACCCAAAGACCTCACCAGCTTGCCTGTCACCAAGCAAACTAACAACTGTGACAAAGGGCCCATAGTAATTGGCCAAATTAAAGGGTCTGTATACAGCTTATTCTGTACCCCCAACCTCAGACATAGACACTTTAAATGACAAACAATCTGACACCCTGATTAACAATGTACACCCAAATGAAGTCATACAATTTAAAATGTATTTATAGAAGAACCCTTCTCATCATCTAATAGGGCAAAATCTGAAACTGTTGGGTGCTTTTAGATCCAATCATGCCTCATTTGGGCTTGAAATTTGCCAGTCAGCCTCGGGCACAGATGCCAACATCACTTTTGCTAGCTATGCACCCACAAGCCCCTTGAGTTAAAAGCTATTTATAAGTCCCATGCCCAACATTGCCTTCAAATTACACAAGTGCCTCAGCATTATTATAATACCTCAGTCACACAAACAAGACCTACATTAACTTAAGTGGGTATCAAGTTGAAAATGACACCCTAGTTCCACATCCCAAACGACACTGTCCTGGCCCAGGAAGTCACTGCTAGAGATGACATCACCTCAGATGATGTCACACCAGCCCAAGACGTCCATGTTAGAGATGACTCTGCATCCCACACTGGAGACAACTTCACTTCAGACACTAAAACCTCCACCCCAGGCCTGCTCATGGACTACCTCTCCTACAGCATAAATTAGATAGAGGAAATTTATTGGTTTTCTTTCTTTGATATTAGAGAATCTATTGCATTTCCAGAGCTTGCTGTCTGTGTAGCACATGATGCTAGCATACTTTTGCTCTCTATCAAAACATATATCTCTACACTCCATGTCTAAAGAGAAATCTGGTCAAGGTTACTACTACCTGTGCCATTCTAAAAACTAATGGAGATCATTGCTTTCCCTAGAAGTCATCTACCTCATGGCAGTGAGCCTCTGCGTCCCTGGGGAGAGGACCATTCACTCCTCAGTGCCTTCTCCTCCAACTCCCCCTCCAGTTTTCTACCACAACCTCCCACCTGTGTCTCTGATTGTGACTACCACATCCACCTCTTCCCTTTGGTTACACACAAAAATACCACTAATCTTTACATATACCCTACCAAACTATCAGTTGATACTCTCCAACAACATAAATTACCTGACTTGCCACCTTGACTCAAGAAATACACCAGGACATTATTGGCAAACACATACACAAACACACACACACACACACACACACACACACACAATTTTTAACACAAGTTACAACTCCACCAATATACTGTTAGAGACCCCAGAAATTTCAGATTTCCTTGCTAATGCCATATAAATGGAGAATTTAGTTATGGGCTGGCATACAAGGATTCCTTATACTTCTACTTGTGTTTCTCCTTTTTCTTCTCATAATAAATGTTTTCTACGCTGTTTAGCACAACTTATGAGCTACTTTCTAAAAGTCTGCTCTTTTATTATCCCTGAGGTTTGATAATATGTCAAAGCATAACGGGGCTAATTGTATCAACGATGCCTTTTATTTTCTGTATTCTGATGCTTTGATATCTGGGGCCTTGCCAGCCCTTGAGGACTGCCCCTCCTAGGGTTACCCAATACTTTGAGATAGTGAATGACTCACTTGCAAGTGCACCTTTCATATGCAAACCAATCAACCCAGAGCCCATATACCCTACCACACCTCCTTCATTGGGTTCACATACTCCAGGCCTCTATCCAAAGATATCTTCCTCTAAGATCAGGAAAAAGACAAAAATGCCCACTCTTGTCACTTTTATTCAACATAGTATTGTAAGACCTAGCCAGAGCAATTAGACAACACAAAGAAATGAAAGGCATCAAAATTGGTAAGGAAGAAGTAAGACTGTCACTATTTGCAGATGACATGATTTTATATATAGAAAATCCTAGAACTCCACCAAAAACTACTAGAACTAATAAATCAGTAAAGTTATTGGATGCAAAATCAATATTCAAAATTCTGTTGTGTTTTGATACATTAATAATGAACTATCAGAAAGAGAAATTAGGAGGACAATCTCATTTACAATTGCATTAAAAAGAAAAAATACATAGGAATAAATTTAACTAAGGAGATGAAAGTCCTATACACTGAAAACTATAAGATATTGATAAAAAGGAACTGAAGAAGACACAAATAAATTGAAAGATGTTTCATGTTCATGGTTTGGAAGAATTAATATTGTTAAAATGTCCACACTACCCAAAGCCATATAGAGTCAATGCAATCCCTATCAAAATTCCAATTGAATTTTTCACAAAAAAAGAACAATCAATCCAAAAATTTGTATGGTCCCAGAAAAGACTCCAAATAGCTAAAGCAATTTTGAGAAAGAACAACAAAGCTGGAGGCATAATGCTCCCTGATTTCAAACTGTATTACAAAGAGGCAGTAATTAAAGTAGTATTACATTCTGTAACTATTTATGGTGATGGGTGTTAACTAGACTTCTTGTGGTGATCATTTGACAATATATACAAATATCAAATCATTATTTTGTACAACTGGAGCTAACATAATGTTGTATATCACTTATACCTATAAAAATATTTTTGAAAAACCAGTATTGTACTGGAATAAAATCAGACACATGGAACAATGGAACATAACAGAGATTCCAGAAATAAACTCACACATATATGGTCAATTAATTATGACAAAGGAGCCAAGAATATATAGTTGGGGTAAGGACAGTCTCTTCACCAAAGGTGCTGGGAAAACTGGATATCCACATGCAAAAGAATGAAATGAAACTGGACCACTATCTTATGCCATACACAAGAATTAACTCAAAATGGATTAATGACTTGAATATAAGACCTGAAACCATAAAATTTGTAGAAGAAAATACCAGCAGTAAGCTCCTTGACATTGATCTTGGTGATGATTTTCTTGGATCCGGCTCCAAAAGCAAAGGCAAGAAAAGCAAAAATAAATAAGTGGGACTACAACAAACTAAAAGCTTCTGTACAACAGAGGAAATAATCAAAAAAATGAAAAGGCAATTTACTGAATGAAAGAAAATATTTGCAAATCATATATCTGATAAGGAATTAATATCCAAAGTACAGTTAGGCGGTGTATGACACAGTTTCAGTCAGTGATGGGCCAGATATACAATGGTGGTCATGTAAGATTAGTACCAGCCTAAGCTGTAGTAGGCTATACCATTAAGTATGTAGGGAAGGAAGAAATTTTCCTCTACCCTTCTAAGTACTTCTGGCTGGGCTAAGAACTAAAGTGACATGAGACAAATTAACAGGAGAAAACCAAAAGTTTAATAACATGTGTACATGAGAGAAACCCAGGAAAACTCGCCAAATGGCTGAAGCCCTCACCTTAAATACTATTCTCAGCTAAAGACAAAAGAAGATGTCAGGGGTGAGGAGAGGCAGGCAGTTCAGCGGGAAGGAAAGCAATTCAGGGGTAGGTGAAAAGGAGCAAATGTTTGGAAAATAAGAGTTTGGTCACAGAGAAACAGAACACAGATGGGAGCCAAACAAACTGGCTTTTCTAGGTTGCTCCATGTCTACCAGCTAGTTCCTGTTATGCTAAGGTGATAGCTTGCCAGCAGGCACAGTTTTTTTTTTTAATCTGAATTCTTTTAGGCAGCCAGGGTGAGGTAGCAAGAAAAGTTTTCTGAGTATTTTTTTTCTTAAAAATAATCAGCCTAAGGGGCCAGCCCTGTGGCCAAGTGGTTAAGTTCACACTCCGCTTCAGTGGCCCA